GACTGTGGTGTAACGCGAGTAGTCGTCAACCACCAACAGGAAGTAGCGCTCGTAACCCTGCCCACGGACGGGGGCTGGGCCCCACACATCCATGTGAAGCGTCTGCAGGGGAGCCTCTGTCGGGGGGAAGTGGGAGGAGTGAGGAGTAGCCCGGAGGCGACCCTCGACACAAGGGACACAGGAAGGTCCTGGCCCGGAGGGGAGAGGAGGGAGAGACTGGGGAAGACCAGAGACAAGGACACGGGAAGCCATGCTCCGAAGACGGGGCAAGGAGGGGTGGCCAAGACGGTGGTGCCACAGGAGAGTCTCGTGAGACAGGAGGCGACAAGTACAGGGGGCAGACTCAGGACCAGACCTGGACGCAGCAGCAAACACCTGACCCGACGCTGCTACCTGATCGGACGCGGGGACAGGAGGAGACTCAGTGGTCAGGGTGTAGAGGCTCGACCCCGGCCGACGCGAGAACGTGGCCAGGTGCCGGCCTGTGCGTGCGTCCGTGCAGTGGGTCACCCGCTGACTCGCAGGAGTGAACTGGTGAACCCCCGCATCCTGTAGGTCTGCACCACTCACCAAGTTCGTCGAGAACGAGGGGAGGTACAGGCCAGACAGGGTGCCCGAGGGGGCAGCCGGACACGGGAGGACAGTGGAGAAGTGAGCAAGGACAGGACCCCCAGAGGGGTCAGCCAGGGAGACTGCAACCGGCCGACCAAGCGGCGTGAGTGTGGTGCGGTCCCGAAAGAAGGAGCGAGAAGCCCCAGAGTCAAGTGTAAAGGTGAGGGAGGCCGAAGCCAACGCGGTACCTGAGAGCGCAGCCTCACCCGCACCTGAGGAAGCAGACTCACTAGCACCTAGAGCAGCAGCCGTACCTGTACCTGGAGCAGGAGACTCACTAGCACCCAGAGCAGCAGCCTCACCAGTAGCTAGAGCAGCAGGTCCTATACCTGGGTCAGGCGGGACGCACAGGTGACCGGCACGGTCAGTACTAGTAGGCAATGCATACATGGCAGTGAGAATAGCATCATAGTCAAGAGCATATATATCTACCCTCTGCCTAAGCAACTCCACCCAGTCGGGAAGCTCAGCCTCGTCGCCAAACACGGTACGCCAGGCGTCGCTCAGACGGGCGAAGCAGCGGGACGGTGTATGACTACGTGTCCCACAAGGCTGACCAGTCCGAGTACCAGTGCGAATCACGTACGAGCAGCGAACAGCACTGAGAGACCCTCCACTCTGAGCGTACCACTCACGAAGCTGGCGAGGCGTGAGAGACACGGGAGAGGGTCGCGGGAGCTGCATCTGGCCGCCACCACGAGTAGAAGCAGCAGGAGTGGTAGTAGGAGTAGCGTCGCCACCCCTACAGCCCCAACCAGCGTACCACTCACGCAGCTGCTGGGGCGTGAGGGACTCACGCCGGCGTCGCTGGGGCTGCATTTGGCTCCGCAAGTAGAAGCAGGAGCAGGACTAGCAGCAGGGAGGCAGGCAGCCAGGCAAGCCAAAAGGCAGGCAAGCAGGCAAGCAGGCGACGCGCAGTGTGCTAGCAGGGCAAGAGCTCACCAGTGGTGGGAAGAGTAGGCTCGGCGACTCAGCGGCTCGGCAGCTCGGCGGCTCGGCGGCTTGGGCGACTCGGGCGGCTCGGCGGCAAGGCGGCTCAGCAGCAACTGCAGCTCAGCAGCTCGGGGACTCGGCGGCTCGGCGGCAGGGCGGCTCGGCAGCAACTGCAGCTCAGCAGCTAAGCGACCCGGCGGCTCGGCTGTGGGGCGGCTCGGCTGCTGCAGGTGAGCGGCTCGGCTGCTGCAGTGGGAGATGAAGGAGGAGGAGAAGCAGGGGAGGCCACACACCTGCCACCCCTCTGCTGGCCTCTCAGGTCGCAAGCGGCCCCCTCAGGTCGCCTCGACAGGCGACGGGAAAAGGGGGGGTGGGTGGTGGGGGGCCGGTAGGTGCAGCGGCGGGGCCAGCAGATGCAGTTGCGGGGCCGGTAGAAGGGGGGACGGCAGGAGCCGTCAGGAGGAGACCGGGCCGCGACGGGGGCAGGCGGCGGGGCCGCGTAAGGGCCTGGGCGGGGCCGCGACGAAGCCGTCGGCGGGGCCGCGTGAAAGCCGGGGCGGGGCCGCGTAGAAGCCGGGGCGGGGCCGCGCGAGAGCAGGCGGCGGGGCCGCGAAGGAGCCGGGGCGGGGCCGCGTGAGAGCAGGCGGCCGAGCCGCGACAGAGAGGGCGGCGGGGCCGCGTCAGTGAAGGCGGCGGGGCCGCAGGGGAAATGGCGACCCGAGGGGTCGCTAAAAAAAGGATCGCGCCTCGGGGGGGCGCTTCGGTGGGCCCAAAAAAAAACCGGTCCGTAGAAGGACCCGCTCTATACCATGTGAGAATAAACGAACAGGGATGAAAATGACTAAGGAAAGATGGGTACAAATACAACCCTAGAAACCCTGTACCCCATATGTGCTACCCCACTATAGCCTACAACAACTATGTCATATAAATCTGACACTCTATAGCGAGTACAACCCTTCTAGGGTTTGCTATTTGTATCCTCATTCTTGCTAGTTCAATCCTCTTTTTCTTCTTCTAATTTTGTCAATATAAATCTGACAGGGGGAACTGTCACTACTGCAAAAAGCCGGGACACATGAAGCGTGACTGCCCACAGCTTAAGGAGCGGCAGCAGGGAAACGGAAACCGCTAGTAGATAGCGGGTCGCTAGCTGGTGTGGACACTTCCGAACCCGCCACGTCTACCAACGTAGAGGAGACGGCCTTAGAGCAGTCACCTACGCCGAACGAGGTAGACACTGTTGATCGTCCAATCGTGCTTCTAGGGAAGCTTCGTGGAGTTCCAGTCAAGATTCTCATCGATAGCGGAGCTAGCCACTCGTTCGTTTCGTCTTCATTAGTTAGTCGTCTCCATCTCGAAGCAGATTCGGCAGTCAACTTCAAGGACGCTCGCATGGTAGATGGGACGCCACTTCACATAGAACCAGACATTCGCAAGTTGCGCGTAGTGCTAGGACCGATCACGGTTAGGCGTGACTTCGACTCTGCGACACTGGACAGTTACGATTTCATATTCGGGAGGGATTGGCTTGGAACAGTTAGTACTCAGTTCGATTGGGCTCAGGGAAGCTGTAGCGTCAAGGTAGACGGGGAGTTCCGGGAGCTGCCACAGTAGAGTGATGGGGCCACATCCTCCACAGCCATCATCAATGCTGTTCGTGTGCGGCAGCTGGTGAAGCGAGCGGCAAGGATCTTAGTCAAGGAGTTGCAGAGCTTCTTCGGATTCGCTAATTACTACCGTCGTTTTGTTCAGGGTTACGCTTCCATTGCTAGTCCACTCACCGGCCTACTTCGGAAGGGCGTAGAGTACGTTTGGGGTCCAGCGCAGCAGCAGGCGTTCGAGCAGATGAAGCAGTCTCTCACGTCTTCACCGACACTGTCGTTCCCTGACCCTAAACCCTGATCCCACTCGCCCATACGTTGTAGTGACCGACGCTTCAGATCAAGCCATAGGAGCAATGCTTCTTCAGGACCAGGGACGCGGGCTGCAGCCGATCGCGTACGAGTTGCGTAAGCTTAGGGGAGCGGAGTTGAACTATCCCATACACGACAAGGAGGCGCTCGCGATCATCCATGCGTATAAGGTGTGGAGGTGCTACCTAGAGGGGGCAGATAGTGTTATACGCACGGACCATTGCTCGCTTTGCTTCCTCAAGTCGCCGCTGCAGCTGAGTCGTCGCCAGGCTAGATGGATGGAGTTCATGGAGGGGAGTTTCCATTACAGGATAGAGTACAAACCAGGCGTTCGCAACCCAGCAGATCCGCTCACTCGCCCTAGTTGCCAGCTCGCCAGCCTCACAGTCACTGCCGGCCATCCACTTCTCACAGCACTCTTCGAGCACGCTTACACAGTAGATCCCGACTTCACATCGCAGCCGTCCGCAGGAGTAGAGGTGCATGGTAGTGTCTACATACGGAAGGGTACCACACGGATTTGGGTTCCAGCCTACCGCCCTCTTCGACAGCTCCTTTTCTCAGAGGCGCACGTCGTAGTTAGTGCAGGGCACTTCGGAGCAGATAAGACGGCTAAGACACTTAGCCGCACGTACTAGTGGCCAGGGCTTGCAGCAGACGTGTAGGATTACATTCGCTCGTGCGACACGTGTCAGCGTATGAAGTCCTCTCGCCAGCGCAAAGCAGGACTCTTGCAGCCGATTCCACCGCCCGACCGCCCTTGGCAGGTAGTTACCATGGACTTCATCATGGCTTTACCGCGCACAGTTAGGGGTCACGACGCCATCTTCGTGGTAGTGGATAAGTTTTCTCGAGCAGCGCACTTCATCCCCACGCACGGCAAGGTCACAACAGAGGAAGCCGCGACACTGTTCGTAAATAACATAGTCCGACTGCACGAGGTTCCAGATTCCATCATCTCAGACCGCGACCCTCGTTTCACTTCGAAGTTTTGGAAGCAGCTTTTCGCACTGTTTGGGACTCGTTTAGCAATGTCGTCTGCGTATCATCCAGAGACAGACGGACAGACCGAGCGTGTGAACCAGACATTGGAGCAGATTCTTCGCAGCATCACGATGCACAACGCAGCCGCATGGGACAAGAAGCTGAGCATGGCAGAGTTCGCCTACAACAACACGCACCACTCCGCCACATGCATGTCACCGTTCTTCGCACTGTACGGTCAGCACCCCAATTTCCCCACTCGTGTCGATCTCACACCCACTGTCCTTCGTGCGGACAACTTCCATCAAACATCTCACCTTCATTCATGATCACGTGAGGAAGCACCTTGAGCTCGCAAATGCACGCATGGCACGCACCACCAACCGCAGTCGTCGTGAGGTGTCGTTCGCAGTCGGCGACCGTGTTCTCTTGGATAGCCGCAACCTCCGACTGCCACAGGACAGCAAGCTTCGTCCACGTTTCATTGGTTCATTCGTCATTGAGCGCGCACTTGGTCTAGTCGCATACCGCCTCCGCCTTCCCGCTCATTTCCGCATGCACCCGTCATTCCACGTGTCGCTTCTTCGTCCTTACACCGATCCCAACGCCACCTTCTCGGGCCGTGACCGCACTCCACTGCCGGTAGCTGTTGACACCGACGAGCCCGACTTCCAGATCCAGCGCATCCTCAGGCACCGTCGCCGTCTCCAGGGGGGTGTCCCTTTCATCGACTTCTTGGTTCGTTGGCGTGGTTATGACGCAGCAGACGACAGCTGGGTTCCTTCGTCCTCGCTGTCTCCCGACAACGCTTGCCTCCAAGCGTACCTCCAGTCTGCAGGCGCCGCGGACGTCGCCTCCTTGGGAGGGGGGTAGTGTTAAGGGGGGATTTACTGTTCATTCCGAACAGTACTTTCCAACTCACCCTTATCCTTATCTTCCTAGATTTCCTAGTGCCACGTGGCACTCTACCTCTCTTGCTTCTACTTTCTAGTCCCACGAAGTACTTTCCGACATTCGACCTTGCATGCTATATCATCCTTGCTTGTATCCACCAATATCAATTCTCTTTCAACTCTTCAATTACTTAGTAACACTTTCGCCTATTTAGCTAATAGTTCTTTCGCCAATGTCTTCCGCCGCGTTTTCATCCTCGACTTGGTCGACCCCGCTCATCTTTAGCGGACTTAGGCCGTCGGGCCTAACACTGCGAAACAAGGCCACTGTAGGATGTTCGGGTCATTGTAGGAATGATCGTTAGGGCGTGTCCCATGAGTTCATTTGGGTAGATATCATATTTCTTACGAAATTTCGACAAAGCAAAAGAGTGTACACTCTGACGTGAAAAACACGCAGCGCGTCAACACAGCGCCAAACGAAATTGACCCACGTGGACTCATAGCCCCACCCACACAAAAATCGTCATCCGAACATGGGCCGCGAGAGGTAACCCGCCACAGTGCGAATCAGCTGTGCCCCTTGCGAAATTTTGTTTTTTCTTCGCGCGAATGAATGTGCGCGAAGTCTCCAATTGGGGTAACGGAATGGAGGACCCGGTACGAAGTGATCTCACGTACCTTGTACGTGGGATAGTACGAACATCTTGACGTCCTAGGCGTGTCATCCGGTGCGTCATCGAAGACGCATGTCATGCAGGGAAAGGTTACAGGCGAGAAACAAGATTACAACACGGAACTTGAACTGTAAACGAACTCGTAGGACACGCCCTTATCAATGATGTGTTTGTACAGTTTGTCAATCTGATACCGCGGAGATAATAGGCGCGTTTGCTTAGAATTCACAGTGGCCACTGTGTCCGGGCAGCCATGGAATCAGCGCAGCGGGGTAACCGTTCGCGTTCGATCGCATGTATCATAAGCGTCACCGTCTGCTCGGTTGGTTTCGCGCTTTTTCTCTTCGTCAGTCATTGCTCGCCACATATCACGTTATCGCACAGCTGCTCAGCTCCAGGTAGCACCTTATCCAGACTTCATGTCGAATTCTCGAGGTATTCCGCTAATATTCTCGAAACAAGTCGCAATTTCATCGACCGCATCCGTTCTCTAAGCAGATCGGAGGGCGACGCCCTCTCTACGGAGCCGCAGCAGACTGAAGAGGGAGAGACCTCGCGGCCTGTCGTGCAGGCCGAATGCGCAGAGGATGGCGTAGCAGGAGGTCCTGAAATTTCTGATAAAGAGATCCTCGGAGGGTCTCGAGAATGTCGAGGGAAACAGTCAAAGAATGGCGGCCGAGAATTAGAGGCAAGAGGCCAAGAATCAGGGATCGGCTCAAGAATCGGGCAAGGGACGTGCAACGGATCGCGTGGGGACGCGGAGTGGCTTGCGGCATGGGCAGCAGTCTCGCGAGATGTGAACGCGAGCATTGCGGCTCACCTTGGTACCGCCACCAGGTGAATGTTCAGGTGAATGTTCAGGTGAATGATGGGTGGGGGGCGCGGATGGTGCATGAGCGTGCATCATGGTACATCATAAGGAGTGATGGTGCATGCATGGAGGGATGGCATGCACCAGTGCATGCATGGGTGGGTGCGGTGCAGTACGCTGAAGTCACTCAGTGTTTTTCACCTTCGCCACTCACCCACCTCTGTTGCCACCCCATATTCGCCCACCACGATCCTCCCCTCCCCTTCTCATGATCCCCCCTTCATGATCCCCCCTCCATGATTCCCCCTTCCATGATTCCCCCTCTCATGATTCCCCCTCTCATGATTCCCCCCTTCGTAATTCCACCCTTCATAATCCCCCCCCATATGATTTTCATGATTCCCCCCATTCATGATTCCCCCATTCATGATTCCCCCATTCATGATTCCCCCATTCATGATTCCCCCATTCATGATATCCCCCATTCATTATACCTCCCTTAGTGAACCCCCTTTCTCATGATCCCCCCATCATGATCCCCCCATCATGATCCCCCCATCATGATCCCCCCATCATGATCCCCCCATCATGATCCCCCCATCATGATCCCCCCATCATGATCCCCCCATCATGATCCCCCCATCATGATCCCCCCATCATGATCCCCCCATCATGATCCCCCCATCATGATCCCCCCATCATGATCCCCCCATCATGATCCCCCCATCATGATCCCCCCATCATGATCCCCCCATCCTGATCCCCCCATCATGATCCCCCCCATCATCATTCCCCCTCTCATGACACCCTTTCTCATTTCCCCCCCTTATCCCCAGGTACGAGGACTCGCTAGCAGCAGCGGGCGGCCCGCAGTATCTGGAGCACCTCAACCTGCCGCCCTCCTTAGGAGGCCTCCTTATGATTCCCTTCTTGAGCGCCCTTCCCCACCTCCCTCCCCCCACCCATCCCCTATCCCCAGGTACGAGGACTCGCTAGCAGCAGCGGGCGGCCCGCAGTATCTGGAGCACCTCAACCTGCCGCCCTCCTGCGCGCCCATCTACCTCTTCCTCCTCGTGCGCCCTGCTCTGCCCTTCCTCTCATGGCTTTCTCAAGCCTTTCTTTAAGTCTGTCTGTCTCGTTTGCGTCCACAAACCTCAACCTGCTGCTCTCCTGCACGCCCTCCTGCGCGCCCATCTACCTCTTCCTCCTCGTGCGCCCTCCCTGCCCTCCTGCTCCATGCCTTGCCTGCCCTGTGTTTCCGTGCTCTCCTGCGCCTAACTTTGAGTCTGTGTGAGTCATTTAAGCCCACGCACCTCAACCTGCCACCCACCCTCCTGCGCGCCCATCTACCTCTTCCTCCTCGTGCGCCCTCCCTGCCCTGCCCTGCCCTGCCCTGCCCTGCCCTGCCCTGCCCTGCCCTGCCCTGCCCTGCCCTGCCCTGCTCTGCCCTGCCCTGCCCTGCCTTTCTGTGCTCTCTTTTCACATCAGCGTGCGTGCCACCTGCTCCTCGTGCCCGTCTGCACTACGTTTGAGTCGACTCAAAAGCAGAACCTGCCTTTCCGTGCTCTCTTTTCACCTTTCTTGTGTGTATCCGCCGTTGATTCCATGCTGCACATCAGTGTGCCTGCCACCTGCTCCCTGTGCCCGTCTGCACTGCCTCCTCTTTGTGCCACGCTTCCCTTTCCCAGTCGTCCACTCCCACATGCCTCCCATCCCATCTCCGCACATCCAGGCCAGGCATGGAGCAGGGGAGCCAAGCCAGACAAGCGTCGCATCCACCAGCTGAACGAGCTCGCACGCAAGCTCAGACGCTCCTTGCATTTCCCTCTGCTGCCCTGCTCCCCCGTCCATCCAGGCCAGGCACGGAGCAAGGGAGCCAACCAAGTGTCGCATCCACCAGCCGAGCTGAGCGACCTCGCCCCCACAATCACACGTGCATTTGCTGCCTCTGTATCTCCCGCTGCCGCCGTGCTCCTCATGTTCCCGTCCCCTCTTTCCAGGCCAGGCACGGAGCTAGGGAGCCCACCAAGCGTCGTGTGCACCAGTTGAACGAGCTCGCGCCCAAGCTCAGACGCACCTTTGCTGCTGCCAGCATTGCTGCCTCTAGAAAATCTGTTGCTGCCGCTGCACCTGTCCCTCCAGATTCCTCTACCTCTGCAGCCACATCTGCAGCAGCTGGGTCGTCTTGGAGCCTCCGCCTCACACAGTGGATGAGAGGGTACCGGTCGCCATGGGAGGGCATGCAGGGGGGAGGCGAGCTGCTGACTGAGGGCGAGGAGGAGCTGTATCGCATGGGCGGGCGGTTCAGGAGGCGCTTTCCCTCACTGCTTGGGGGCGTGTATCACAGCAAGGCGGTGAAACTGTTCTCCACGCAGGTGTGTGTGTGTGTGTGTGTGTGTGTGTGTGTGTGTGTGTGTGCGTGTGTGTGTGTGTGCGTGTGTGTGTGTGTGTGCGTGCGTGTGTGTGTGTGTGTGTGCGTGCGTGTGTGTGTGTGTGTGTTGAGGGAAGGCGAGCTGGTGAAGGGCAGGTGAGCAGGTGCAGGAGGGCGAGGAGAGCTGTACCGCATGGGTGGGCGGTTCAAGAGGCGCTTTCCCTCTCTGCTTGGGGGCGTGTATCACAGCAAGGCGGTGAAACTGTTCTCCACGCAGGTAATGTGGTCACCCTTTAGAGGGGGGCGGGGGGTCAGGCCTGTGAGCTGCTGAGGCAGTGAGCTCCTCCGCACTCCTCTCTCCCCCCCTTTGCAACCCTTTCTGGTCGTCCACTCAGCAACCTTGCGGTCGCCTTTGTCATTGGTATCCTAGAGGGTCGGGCGCTGGGTACCTTCGAGTTCAACTCTCTCCTTCCCTTCTCCCTATCTCCTCTCCGATCCTCTTCCCCTCAGGTCGCCCGTTCAGCAGCCAGTGCAGTCGCGTTCGCCATTGTCCTCCTAGAGAACTCCGGCTCCCTCACGCGCGCGCGCCTCAACCTCTTCCAAGGTCATGCCTATCTCCTCCATCCCTCTTTCGGCCATCCCATTCCTCTCCCCACCCACCCGCACCCCATCAGGTAGCGCGCGCAGCAGCCAGTGCAGTCGCCTTCGCCATCGGCCTCCTAGAGGGCTCTGGCTCTCTCACGCCCGCGCGCCTCCGCGCCTTCCCGGTGATTTCCGAAACCCAGGAAGGCGACACGAAGCTTCGTTTCCACAACCTGTGCGGCGCGTACGTGGCTGTGAAGGAGAACGCACAGGGGCGGCTGGATGAAGGGTGGGAGGATTTATGGGGGGAAATTGCCCAGGATATTAACAAACAGCTTGGGCTAGTCTCTGAATCACCCGAGGCACAAAAGAGAGAGGAGGGGGTGCGAGGGGAGGTTGCAGGAGATGGGAATGAACAGTTGGGGTTGGGGTATGATGAGGGGTTGGTGGGGAATGGAATGGACGGTCAGGATGCGGCGCTGGAGGCCGCTGGTGTTGATCTGACGGCGTATGATGTGAGTGGGCTGTGGCTGCAGTGCAAGCACGAGGCAGGGGTTCTGCTGAGAGGAGGGGGGGGTGAGGGGAGAGAAGGAGCGGACGAGGGTGATCACCAGGTCTCGGCCTCCCGCGCGTGTGGCCTGTTCTCGGCGCGCCACCTGGCGGTGCTGGAGTGGATTGATGACGTGGACACGTTCATGCAGAAGGGGTATGGGCGGGAGATTAACTACCACATGGGTCTAAACCTGCTGCAGGAACTAAGCGAGAAAATGGTCAATGCGCGGCTTAGGAGGCTCTGGGAGGAAGGGCGCTTGGGGGCGGCAGCAGATGGGGTGGGGGAAGGGGGAGTTGGGAGCGGTGGGGTGGGTGGGAAGGAGGAGAAGGAAGAGGGGAAGGTGGGGAAGGAAGGGAAGGAGGGGGAAGGGAGGGTAGGGAAGAAGGGGAAGAAGGGGAAGAAAGGGAAGAAGGAGAAGGAGGGGTGGAGGGATGGGGTGAGGGAGAGGGCTGCTTTGCACTTTGGTCATGCAGAGACAGTCATTCCGTTTGCATGCCTCCTGGGACTGTACAAACCAGACTCCCCTACTGAGGCTGCCAATAACAAGGACACACGTGAACACCAGAAGCCCGATGAGCAGCAGCAGCAGCAGCAGCAGCAGCAGAAGGAAGAAAACCGCAGTGACAAGTACGACGTGCTAATGGCGAAGGTGGTCGCTACAATCACACAGCAGTTCGCCCCACCGGTGCCTCTGCCGCCCGCCCCTCCATTGCACCGGCGATGGCAGGCCAGCCAAATCGCACCCTATGCTGCCAACACGGCTGTCATCCTCTTCAGGTGCGTGCCGCAGGTAACTAGATTCGATGGTTAAATCTCCTCCGCCTTGCCATTGCACTGGCGCTGGCAGGCCAGCCAGATCGCATGTTTCATCCTCTTCGCTGCCAACCAACACTGCCGTCATCCTCTTCAGGTGCGCATCGTGTTTGAGGATGCTCAGAACACTGTTGTAAGTGAGACGCTCATAACGTTTTCAGCGTCTCATATCAGTGTTTCTCCAATCATTGTTCCTCTCTTCTCCTGCCGTGCTGTGCTGTGTGTAAGTATTTCTCTTGTCTCTCCAACCCTGAGAGTGCTTTCAGTTATCATGCCACTGTGGGCTTCTCTTTGCTCTCTCCTACTTTCTGGCTGCTAAGTTGTTTGTTGAGTCGACTCAAAAGGCGACTTATGTCACCGTGGGCTTCTCTTTGCGCTCTCCGACTTTCTCTGTGTGTTTGACTTTGCTTTGCTATAGTAATCAACCGTGCTTCGAGCTACCAACAATGCTGATGCTGTGCTCTTCAGGTGTGGTCCCAGCGGGACTGATAGGCTTCACGGATCAAGCAATGCTGCCTCCAACTCTGGTGCTTGTGACAGCAGCGGTGGTGGTGGCAATGGCAGCAACATCAATGGAGGAGGAGAGGAAAATTCCTATGGAAATCCCCATGCGGATGCAGAAGCTGATGCGGATGCTAGGGCTGAGGACGATGCAGAAGCAAAGGCGGCATTAGCAGACGGCTTCGCAGTGGCAGTGATGCACAACGAGCGCTTCGTGCCGCTGCCGGTGAGCTGCGCGTGTTGTTGGTTGGGTTGGTTAAGTGGCCCATTTGATGTTCTCCATTTGTATGCTCGTTGCCCCGCTTTTGCTCATTCGCTCCAACACCTTGTTCCCCCCATCCTCCACATCTACCCCCATCCTTGTAACCTCTTTCTGTGTATCCCGTACGCTGACTCTACTTCGTTATCCATTCCTGTGCGTGTGTTTCCTATCTTGCTTCCTCCTTGCGATCCGCTGTGCCCCTATGCGATCCTCTGTGCCCCTATGCGATCCTCTGTGCCCCTATGCGATCCTCTGTGCCCCTATGCGACCCTCTGTGCCCCTATGCGACCCTCTGTGCCCCTATGCGTCCCTCTGTGCCACTCTGCGTCCTTCTGTGCCCCTCTGCGTCCCTCTGTGCCCCTCTGCGTCCCTCTGTGCCCCTCTGCGTCCCTCTGTGCCCCTCTGTGTTCCTCTGTGCCCCTCTGCGTCCCTCTGTGCCCCTCTGCGTCTCTCTGTGCCACTCTGCGTCCTTCTGTGCCCCTCTGCGTCCCTCTGTGCCCCTCTGCGTCCCTCTGTGCCCCTCTGCGTCCCTCTGTGCCCCTCTGTGTTCCTCTGTGCCCCTCTGCGTCCCTCTGTGCCCCTCTGCGTCTCTCTGTGCCCCTCTGCGTCCCTCTGTGCCCCTCTGCGTCCCTCTGTGCCCCTCTGCGTCCCTCTGTGCCCCTCTGCGTCCCTCTGTGCCCCTCTGCGTCCCTCTGTGCCCCTCTGCGTCCCTCTGTGCCCCGCTGCATCCCTCTGTGCCCCTCTGCGTCCCTCTGTGCTCCTCTTCCTCCCTTCGTGGCCCTCTCTCTTCCCCTGTGCCGCCCTGCATCCCTCGGTGACGCTCTGTGCCTGTGTCTCTCTGCGTCTCTCGTGTGACCCCACTCAGCTGTGTGGAGGAAGGGTTGTCTGCCCCTTCGCTACATTCCAGGTGCCAAACACTCTCTGCTCTCTTTGCTTGCTCTCTTTGCTTGCTCTTCCTGCTGTTTCTGACAGCAGGTATCAAAACTCGCTGTTTCTTTCTGACAGCAGTATCAAAACTCATTGCTGTTCCGACAGCAGTAACAAAAAGTACTGCTGTTCTGACAGCAGGTATCAAAACTCCCTCCTGTTCCGACAGCTCGTCTGTGCGCCCAATTCTTATCTCGTCTTTACGTCCACTGCTGAACGTGCTTCAGGCAGGATATATGAAGGCACATGAGGGGCATCTACAGTAGTGCACATATGATTCTCTTTTGAGGCGCCTCAAAATACATATGATTCTCTTTTGAGGCGCCTCAAAAGGCAGCCGTGCTTCAGGCAGGATATATGAAGGCACATGAGGAGCATCTACAGTAGTGCACATATTATTCTCTTTTGAGGCGCCTCAAAATACATATGATTCTCTTTTGACGCGCCTCAAAAGGCAGCCGTGCTTCAGGCAGGATATATGAAGGCACATGAGGGGCATCTACAGTAGTGCACATATGATTCTCTTTGCATGCCCTTCTGTGCTTGGAGTCAACTCAGACTCAGGCCTGAGTAAATGCGAGGGAGGACGCATTTAGAGCGCCGCACCACACTATGATGCATGTCCTTGCATACTTCAAGTAAAAAAACACAGGGGCACACACGCACGCACGCACACACACACACTTGCGAGGACACATGATAATACAACACCACACTAATTTCTGGTGCGGGACAGCCAGTGCTCTGCTCTGTACTGTACCAATCCGCTTTCCCATCATTTTTCTACTTACTCATTTGCAGAAAGCGGTTCTTGAGGCGTATCTACAGCACACGTACGAGTCTGTCTGTGCTTGGTCGCCTCCATGACATGGTGTGTTGTGCTTGCGTATAGATCAGCACACCATGTACTGTATATTTTTTCACCAGTGTACCCATGGAAATGTACATGTGCACACGTACGAGTCTGTCTGTGCTTGGTCGCCTCCATGACATGTAGGCTTGCGTGTAGATCAGCACAGCCTGTATTTGTTTTCACCTGAGTACCCACGTAATTGTAAATGTACATAGATATGATGCCGTGCCACAACTTATGCCACGTAGAGTTGTTTCCATCCTACCAAATATTTTGTGAATCAATGTGTATGGCATTGCATTGCAGGCATGCTCAATCTTCATGTGCGCGCGCGCACACACACACGCATAAACAAGCACACGTGACTCCAGGAAGTGACAGTAATAGTCTCATACCGTTAGGATGTACATACGTTCGATGGTGCTATGGTCCCTTGCCATCGGAATAGTACCTTCAGCAGGAGCTGCAGAGAGGAAATGGCTGCAAAGTTGAAATTTGAGGATGCTCATGAACAAATACAGGCTTTCGAAATAGCCAGAAATGTGTGTACTGTACACTGTCACCAGAACTCTCCAGAACAAAGTCAGGTCACGACAACACGACTACCCAAATCACACCCCTCACAATTTTTGCAACATAACGAAGTCTAGACTCTACAGTAAAGTTTGGATATAAGGAAGATCGGTTTGGCTGACGGGGCGTGAAATTGGCGAGGACTTGGTTTACTACGGTAGTTGTAGTAAAGCCCATACAATTTAATGCTTGCACCCGCCGAGGCTGGTTGTTTGGAGATAAATTAAAAGGGGAGTTGTCCTTCCTTGTCCCATCCTGGCGGTCTATTCAAGTTGCATGACCGCCCAGCGCACACAAAATTTTCCTCCACTCGCTCCTGCCGTGGGGGGAGATGATCAGTAACTACAGTAACAACGCTGAATGGGCTGGGCACCGAAGCAAGTTTGCGGTCACAATCGCTCCCCATCGCTCCCAAAAGGAAGCAATGGCCAGAGCAACCAAATTTCCCCACACATGAAGAGAGTCAACAGCGTTGTCCGGATCAGGATGTCCCCAACGGGCAGGATGAAAAGTTCGCGTGTCCCCAACACGCGAGGGTACGGTGTGATTGTACCTAGGCTACCACGGTTACGGCTGATGGATGGTGTTTCTTCGCATTGTACAATATACACATGATGCTCGTTTGAGCCACTCCTGGTTGCCTTGTGAAGGGGGCACTTCAGCTGTTTTTCCATTTCGCATAAGTTTCGTCAAATTACAGCTAGCAAAAAAGGATTTGTCAGGTGCTTATAAAATACTTGTAACATTTCTGTTGACATTTTGACCTCTTTCTCTTCAGTTTGACTTCAGTGTGTTCGTTACTATTGGTTCTGAACCACTGCAACCAACCGACCACTGCCTGATGACGTGTCCGGAGGTGGACAGGGTTATCAAAAAGCTACATGCGGCGTTGAAAATGTTAGGGGTCAGGGAAGAGGCAAAGTGTGTGGGTGACCTTCTTTTCCGGGGCTCCATCACGAAGTCAAGCTTTCTAGAACTGCCGCTGATTGCCATCACGCTCCAGCAGCTGTGGTTGGCGAGGTGTGATGCGGTCTTCAGACAGGAGAAGTTCCAGCATAAAAAGGTGGTCAGGAAAATTTTGGCGAATTTCATCCGGCACGTGAGAGTCTACAACAAATGGAGAGACAGGCAATCGCACAAGACAAGAGCAGCGAGTGGCAAGGATTGGGGACAGCTGGTTTCGAACGAAGCGAGGGTCCTTAACAAAGCCTTCGTAGGAGACAAAGAGCTATCATGGAAGGAGGGCTTCCGCGTGATCTGGGAGGATCCGCGGGCATGGTACAAACCGCCATAAAGGGGATGTTGGGGGACTAGCTGCTGGACTCGTTTTATGCTTATATAGTGTACTTCCGACCAAAAAAAAAAAAAAAGACAAGAGGCGATGAAATCGTCTTAGGGCTGCGAAGCGTTTTACACAACTGTAAACCCCCAACACCCAATTTACGTCGAACGGGTTGCGTAGAACTGTATTCCGTAAATAAGAAACTTTGTTATAGAGTACATTATAACTATATTTTGGTTATAGAAGTATTTCATTAAGCTTTTCAATTTTACGTAAAACAGATAGTTCCTTCAAAATTCTCTATATATTTTTCTTCATTTATAATTATTTTGACAATGATTTACTATGGAATTTTTTGGACATTGTTCTTTTTGTGATTGTAGTAAACATGAATTGCTTTCACCTACTACTTACTCTAATGTTTAATCAGGTCACTATAGCGAGTTAGGCGTTTGAAGTGTATCTGTACTGCGTTGGGAGATTTTTTCTGCGCTGTCAGTCGTTTCCCTGATGCCCCTGTTCTGTGCTGGTACAGTATCCGTCTCTGCTGCAACTGTCTGTGAAAATAGTAGTTAAGAGCTTAGGAGCCATAGCTAGGAAAACCCTAGCTAGGCAAGAAACAGTTTAGGCAAAGAGGGTTTTCACTAGCATGAATGAGGATACAAATAGCAAACCCTAGAAGGGTTGTACTCGCTATAGAGCACCCCACTACAGGCTAGAGCATAACATTCTGACACACCCCCATAGCCAAAGTGGGGTGTAATTAGTACAATGAGCAAGCAGGTATAGAGCAGGAGTTCACAAAGGTAAGCAAAGCTAGAGCTAATCACAGCGGGCAAGTGAGGAGGAGGAGGAGCTGTGGAGGTGGAGAAGATGGGAGGCAACGACTGAAGCTGCAGAGGCACAGGCACAGGAGCGGCTGACTCAGAGGCTACCAAAGCAAGGGCGACGGACTACTAGAGTAACTGGCTCGGCGGCTATAGAAGAGCGGCATGAGCAACGGACCCACTGGCGACTTGTGCAGCAGGCTCACTGGCTACCGAAGCAAGGGTGACGGACTACAGGCGCTGCAAGCGACACGACAGGTACCTCCACACAACCTCCTCCAACTGCCCCACACCCTCGACACACGCCCACTGCTCAAACCCTAGCTCCACTCCCACGCACCCCCCTTAAACCCTAAACCCGAGGCTCCCACACACCCACCCCCCTCAGCGACAGCTGCAGCAGTGAGAGACGAAGGAGGAGGAGGAGCAAAGGGAGGAATGCACAACCGCCACCCCCATACCCGCCACCCCCACACCCCTCACCCCCAAAACCCTAAAACGGGTGGGATAGGGGCAGGAGCTCGGGGGATGGCGAAAGGAGGGACGGCGCACGACCCCCAGGGCGCCAAAACGGACGGGCGGGGCGGGGGAGTGGCGTGCGCGGCTCCCTAGGGCGCCGCGACGGACGGGCAGGGGGCGGGCGCGGCTCCCCAGGGCGCCGCAACGAACGGGCAGGGGGCGGGCGCGGCTCCCCAGGTCGCCGCGATGGACAGGCAGGGGGCGCAAGCGGCTCCCCAGGGCGTCGCGACGAGCAGGGCGGGGCCGCGCGTGCGCCCTAGAGAGCCGCGACGAGCTGGGTGGGGGGCCGCGCGTGCTCCCCAGGGCGCCTCGACGGACGGCCGGGGCGCGCGCAGGCTCCCCAGGGCACGAAACCGCCGCGCGCCTCGGGGCGCACGGCGGGCAGAAAACCGCCGCGCGCCCCGAGCGCACGACAGGTTGGAGGCAGCGCGCCCTAGGCGCGCTAGAAGCAGAACAGCAGCGGGAGCAGTTAGGCGGCGGGCCCACCCACAGGATCGACCCAAGGGGGTCAACCTGCTCTGATAGCATGTGAAAATAGTAGTTAAGAGCTTAGGAGACATAGCTAGGAAAGCCCTAGCTAGGCAAGAAATAGTTTAGGCAAAGAGGGTTTTCACTAGCAGGAATGAGGATACAAATAGCAAACCCTAGAAGGGTTGTACTCGCTATAGAGCACCCCACTACAGGCTAGAGCATAACATTCTGACACTGTCAACTCGAATTCTGCGCTGCCTTTTTTTGATTCTTGTTCTTGGTTTCCTCTCGACAAGCACTAGCTCTGCTTTTTCTCCTTTTCCTCCCCCCCACCCCAATATCTCCAGTTTTTCTCCCACCTAGCCGTCGCTCTTGCTCCCATCCCGCCGTATCAACTCCCTCACTACCCGCCGTCACCTCTCCAACCCACCTCACTATCACTCCGCCCCACCCCGCCATCTCCTCTCCCTCAACTCCCCGCCGTCGCCTCTCACTCCTCCCTACCGTCGCCTTTCCCTCCTCTCCGCCGTCACCTCTCCCTCCTCCCCGCCATCTCCTCTCCCTTACCTCCCCGCCGTCGCCTCTCACTCCTCCCCGCCATCGCCTCTCACTCCTCCCCGCTGAGTCGCCTTTCCCTCCTCCCTGCCGACGCCTCTCCCTCCTCCCTGCCTTCGCCTCTCCCTCCTCCCCGCCGTCGCCGCTCCTTCCTCCCCGCCGTCGCGTCTCCCTCCTCCTTGCCATCGCCTCTCCCTCCTCCCCGCGGTCGCTTCTCTCCACTCCTCGCAGTGGCCTCTCCTTCCCTCTCCGCCGTCGCCTCCGGCGACAGGTGCACGAGCACAAGCGCGGGTTGGTGCGCGAGCGCGGGTTCGTGCGCGAGCACGACTTGTTTTCTCAGGCACCGTGGTTATCGGGTGCGTTCCCAGTCCTTCCGTCCTCCCTCCCCCCCTTTGAAATTTTCGTTTTATTATTATTTAATTCCTTTTCTGTGTGTCGATTGGTCTCCTCTTGCATTGTACTTTCATTTAAAGAAGAAATAGATGGAGTGCGAGGGAGAGCGTGTGCGCATGAAAGAGCGTGTGAGAGAGCGCATGAAGGAGCGCGTGAGAGGGCGCGTGAGAGAGCGCGTGAGAGAGCGGATAGGAGAGCACATGTGAGTGTTTGAGAGCGTAAGAGAGAGTGAGAGAGAGAATGCACGTGATAGTGCACGAAAGAGAGCGAGAGAGAGAGAGAGAGAGATAGAGAGAGAGAGAGAGAGAGAGAGAGAGAGAGAGAGAGAGAGAGAGAGAGAGAGAGAGAGAGAGAGAGAGAGAGAGAGAGAGGCATAGACCCCTAGTCCCTTAGCCTCTCAGCCTCTCAGCCGCCCCTAGCTCCGCTATATAAGGCCGTGGGCCTGGTGCTTGTCTCATGATTCATTTCGTGGGTTCATTCCTTCTAACCCAGCGGAGAGAGAGCGAGAGAGAGAGAGAGAGAGAGAGAGAGAGAGAGAGAGAGAGAGAGAGAGAGAGAGAGAGAGAGAGAGAGAGAGAGAGAGAGAGAGAGAGAGAGAGGCATAGACCCCTAGTCCCTTAGCCTCTCAGCCTCTCAGCCGCCCCTAGCTCCGCTATATAAGGCCGTGGGCCTGGTGCTTGTCTCATTATTCATTTCGTGGGTTCATTCCTTCTAACCCAGCGGCTCGCGTCGGCCGCCTTCGGCGGCCGACGCTCGACAGCGCGGCCTTCGGCCGCGCGTGAGGGGACGGCAAGGAACACGAACACAACCGAGGTTAAGCAAACGGCATACAAACAATGGCGGCATCAACAACATCCTAAGCAGCAATGGCGACACAAGTAGAAGCGGAGCCCGCATCTACATGCGGTGAGCTCCAAGGGCGTGAAGAACGCCCGTCAGGGAGCGCCACAGCTCCCGGACCACAAGCGTGCTTGCGCCGATCGCCGCGGCTCCAGATCCAGCGCGCAAGTGCCGCCTCAGGCCCCGGACAGCTTCGTTGAGCTGTCCCGCAGCAGCAGCGCCTCCCTCCGCGGGCGCAGCCAGCACGGGCGCCAGCAGCACTGCGAGCTGGTCTGCCGCGTCCAAGCAAGGGTCACGCTGGCGAGAACGGAAGGTCTCAGGAGGAATCACCGGAAGCGACGAATGAGCCAGCACCTGAATCAGCAGCAGAGCATGGAGGCTGTCAGCGAGGCGGTGCAGCTGTCCAAGAGTCGCCTCGGGAACACGGGTCTGCGGAGGCTGCAGTGCCTCCGCCAGGAACTGAAGCGGCTCATCAGCGCCGGCGAGGAGAGCAAACGGAGCCGATAGCGAGCCTCCGCCCGCGGCCACAAACTCCACGCCAGCAACGGGTGGAAGCGGCGGCAGTTGCAGACGAGAACCAGGAACGGGCGCCGACGCGGCGGGAGCAAGCGCAGGCGGCGACTGAATCGGAGGGGGAGGCGCAGCAACAGGGGGGAGCGCAGCCGGACGGGGAGCCTCGTGGACGGGCGCGGCGCGCAGCGAACTGCTCTGACTCTGCGCCGCCCTCTCCTCCTGAACCGCCCTCGACACTTCACGCTGAAGATCCGCCATCGTCACAGGCGGGCGCAACCCCCCATAGGCGCGGGGACCTCCCCATTCCCCCTGACCCCCGGGGTGAGCAGGCCAGCGGGGGTGTCGCTAGAACCGCCGCGGAGACTCACGGCGGCGACGAGAGGACCGGCGGTCCTGATGGGGAGCAGGGGAATGCGGGCGTGACGAACGACGGTCAGGCGACGGAGGACGTGACGGCTGGCCAGCAGGAACTACCGCCGTCGCAGCAGGGGCGGGCGGTCCCGACGCCGCGGGCGCAACCAACGGAGCCGGCTCGCCAGTGGTGGCGGACACCGCCTTCGGTGACGAAGCAGAAGCATGCGCGGGCGAGCAAGGGACAGAGGTGCTCAGCGCAACAGGGGCGCCAGGGACAGGCGCAGGGGGGTCAGCAACAACCCCAACAAAGGCAGACGTCGACGGCGCGACAAGGGGAACCAGGGGGTCATGTGCTGCAGACTGGGCAACGGGATCCGCGGGTGCGTGGGGAGGAAGCTTTTCAGCGGCTGCTGTCACGAGGGTCGGAGCCGGCGGTAGAGGGGGCTTCATCGCCGTGGTCGCCCTTCCGGCCTCCGCCGGAGGCGTCGCGGCCACAGCCGACCAGGCGGCAACGAGCTCTGGCGACGGCTCAGGCGCACCGGCAATCACCATCCCTGGAGCAGGAAAACCGCGGGGCGAGAAGACAAACCGTAAGCGGAACAGGCGGAGGGCCGGAGAACGGGTATCAGGCGGCGGCACGAAGGGCTTTAAGTAACGCGGAGAAAAATAATGAAGAAGACGAGCGGGACGACCCCACTTATATGGAAGAAGCACTCCCCGAGAGCGAGGAGGAGGAGACGGAGGGGGAAGGCATGGCGAGAGAAGGACCAAGGAGAAGGGAAGAGGTAGTGCAGCAGCCAGTGGTGCAAGTGCCACAGATGGGTTTGCCGCCATCCGATGCCGATCGGACGGGTGTGAATCCAACCTCAAACCCACCAATGAGAGCGAGCCGCGATGGGAGAAATCGAGCCGCCAATGCCAGTCCGGCACTGCACCTACAGGCGTCAATTCCCCGCTACTTTTCACCCGATGAGCTAGCGAAGCGGACAGACCTGTTCGCGGCCATCGCGAACTGGGACTTGGCAGGACTATGCGATAGTCGTCAGCCCCCACTTTCGCGGCGTTTACCGCCAAATCTGTGCCAGCTGTTTTCGCTAGCGCTACTGACACCGTTACACCACCTATCACGAAACCCTGATTCGGAAACGGGATGGCGACTGCTGTTGTTTCTCCCGCGACTAACACTTCGCCAAACCTCGCCTGCACGCCCGAACTGGCCATGCGTCAAGAGTCGGCTCCGAGCCTTCCAGCGTGGCGAATGGGATCAGCTGTACCAAGACGCGTTGACCGCAGTCAACACACCGCCCCCGCCAAGACATCAGCCAGATGCGACTGGTGTCATCAGCCGCGCAGAGAGCCTAGCAAAACGTGGGAGTCTGCGCCGAGCCGTGTTGGCCCTCGAGTCAACGCCCGTCTGCACGCCCAGTCCGGAAATATTGGAGGAGCTGCGACAGAAGCACCCACGTGCTGAAGACGAGGCAGTGACGTGGCCCGAAACACAGGGGTCAAAATTGTCAATCCCCCACGCTGACTTCGCTAAAATGTTGGCGAGGTGCGAGAATGGGGTTGGTGCCGGACCTTCAGGGATGACGTTCGAGCACCTACGCGATGCGGCGATCACGAACGGAATGGTCAGCACCCATCTCCACGCCTTGGTCAACACTGTGTTGGGAGGCAAATTGCCAGGCCCGGTAGCGAACCTGCTGACGGCATCACGACTCATCGCCCTCGCCAAGCCGGGGGGAGGGGCTAGGCCTATCGCCATCGGCGAATGCCTAACCAGGCTGGCAGCCAAGGCTGCCCTGTTAATCATGGGAGACCCGGTCCGCGAATTTTTCTTACCCCTACAGTACGGGGTAGCAGTTCCAGGTGGGGCAGAGGCAGTAATCCACGCAGCCAGGGCTTTTTCGGATGCCCGCCCGGACAGCCTGGTACTACAAGCCGACATTACAAACGCGTTCAACAGCATTTCGCGTTCCGCCATCGCCGACGCGTTACAAGAGCCCACCCTCTCGCCACTGCTGCCGCTCGTGCAACTGACATACGGTAACCCGTCGCAGCTACTACTGGACTCCAATTTCAACAGCGCACCACTGACAAGCGAACGCGGCGTACGCCAGGGAGACCCACTTGGGCCACTTCTATTTGCAGCAGGGATACACGCTACACTCCGAGAAACTGCCGAAGCACACCCGGACGTGCTGTGCCTGGCATATGCTGACGATGTCACCTTCATGGGTGGCACAGACCGCACTGTAGCTGCATTCACATGCTTCACGACAAAATTGGCGCGCCTGGGCCTCGAACACAACCCACAGAAGTGTAGTGCCTGGAGCTCCTGCGCAATTGACACATCCTGCCTTCCGCCAGGAGTGCCGTTCTCTAAAGGTGGCATGAAACTACTAGGTAGCTTCGTGGGGCCAGACAGCGGCGCAGCTCGGTTCCTGGCGGGTCAGCTCGCCGAGATGGCGAAACCCTTACCCCTGCTCGAGCGAACGGACCCCCAGGTCGCAGCGCTGCTACTTACGCGATGCATATCGCGACGAGTTGCATATCTCACCAGGACGACCCCACTGCACCTTCTCCCTCGTGACACATGGAGCCAGTGGGGTAGGGATCTGCTCGCCACGCTCCTCACAGCTTGCGATATCCGTGTTCCCACGTGTCGAACCGAACAGTCACGGGTCTGGGAGCAAGCATCACTGCCGCCATCCTTGGGAGGGCTGGGCATCACCGACCCCCTAGTCGAAGGGATCTATGGTTTCGCAGCCAGTTTTACGCAGGCGGCATTGTACCTCGGGTGTTTACCGCTGGAAGAAGATACCGCCCTCACCCTGGCACGGAATCATATGCTACTGCCACGGGCTGACAGCACACCGCTACACGAATGGCTGAAGGAGTGTGAGGAGGCACTGCCGCAGGATGCACGGGAGATACTCGAGACGGAGCGGCTCAAACGTTCCGACATCCGGCTCCAACACGTGCTTGGACTCAAGGTCCACGGAAGCAGATACGCAAAGCAGGTGCAGGCGACGAGGCGCATGAAGCCGAATCCGCTTGCGGGGCACACACAGAGGATGTTTTCAATGACGGGCTACGGCACAGGCGACTGGCTCACCGCGATCCCCATTGCCCCTGCTAGGCGGATAGGGCCGGTACACTTCGCAAATGCGGTTCGTTTCCGACTCGGCCTACCGTTTTCGACCCCCAAAAACTGTGACTGCACTGACCACACGGCTATCACAGACCCCCGCCTTCCGAACCACCTGCTCCGCTGCGGCACAGGCAAGCACCGCACGAACACGCACAACGAGCTAAGGGATGCCTGCGTCAGCATGGCGCAAGACGCAGGGTTTATAGTACACAGAGAGTCGGCCGCCTACTGCCCCATCGAGGAGCAAACCGCCGACTTCACTATGACCGACAGAAGCAGTGGGGCGGTTTACATCTGCGATGTAACCATCACTGACCCCATCAGCACCAGGGACCCAGAGGCACAGAAGGGCAGGGGGTGGGCGGCACGTGAGCAAGCGGACAAGAAAATAAAACATTACGCCAACCGCCCAGAGACGATAGGCTTCTTCCCACTGGCGGTAGACACCTACGGCTGCCCATGTGCCGAGGTCCCGGTCTTCCTCAAGCTCCTGGCAGACACAGCGGCTCGGCGCCACTTCAACGCCGACTCAAAATCCTTCTATGCCGCCAAGTTTCTGCATCAATTCAGACAGAGGTGGTCTGTGGCCCTCCAGAGGGCTCAGTCAGTGGGACTCTTGATCAAATTGGGGGAGGCTGCAGCAGCTGAGAACCCACCTGTTGGAGGCATAGGGCAGGAGATGCACCTTGGGGACTGCTTTGCGGTGGTCGAGCCTTTGCTGGAGCTCTAGAGTGTGTGACGGTGTGGTAGTTGTGTGACTGGTTGGCTTTGTTTGTTGGTTACCTAGGCCCTTATACCGTGCATGCTTGTACTTTCCTGCTATATCAATACAAGGACCATTAGAGAGAGATAGAGAGAGAGAGTGCGTGAGAGTGTGCCTGAGAGTGCGCCTTGAGAGAGTGTGTGAGGGAGTGCATGAGGGAGTGCATGAGAGGGCGCATGATAGAGCGCATGAGAGAGCGTGGGAGAGTGTGAGAGAGCGCGTAATAGAGCGTGTGAGAGTGCGCGTAAGAGAGCGCGTGCGAGAGCGCGTGAGGGAGTGTGTGAGGGTGCGCGTGAGAGAGCATGCGAGAGAGAGAATGTGTGTGAGAGTGCGCGAGAGAAAGCACGTGAGAGAGAAAATGCGCATGAGAGTGCGGGAGAGAGAGCGAGAGAGAGAGCGCATGAGAGTGCGCGTGAGAGTGCAGGAGAGAGCTCGAGAGAGAGCGCGTGAGAGTGTGCCTGAGAGTGCACCTCGAGAGAGCGTGGGAGGGAGTGCGTGAGGGATCGCATGAGAGGGCGCGTGATAGAGCGCATGAGAGAGCGCGTGAGAGAGCGTAAGAGAGCGCGTGAGAGAGCGTGTGAGAGTGCGCGTGAGAGAGCGAGTGCGAGAGCGCATGAGAGAGTGCGTGTGAGAGCGCATGAGAGAGCGTGTGAGGGAGCGTGTCAAGGTGCGTGTGAGAGATCGTGTGAGAGAGAATGTGCGTTAGAGTGCGCGAGACAAGACTCTGAGAGAGAGAATGCGCATGAGAGTGCGGGAGAGAGAGCGCGAGAGAGAGCGTGTGAAAGTGCGCCTGAGAGTGCACCTTGATAGAGCGCGTCAGAAAGCACGTGAGAGTGCGCGTGAGAGAGCGCGTGTGAGAGCGCGTGAGAGAGCGTTTTAGGTAGCTTGATAGGGTGCTCGTGAGAGAGCTTGTGAGAGAGAATGTGCGTGAGAGAGCGCGTGAGAGTGCGCATGAGAGAGCGTGTGTGAGAGCATGTGAGAAAGCGCGTGAGGGAGCGTATGAGTGTGCGCATGAGAGAGCGTGTGAGAGAGAGAGAATGTGCATGAGAGTGCGCGAGAGAAAGCACGTGAGAGAGAGAATGCGCATGAGAGTGCGGGAGAGAGAGCAAGAGAGAGCGCGCGGGAGAGTGCGCCTGAGAGTGCACCTTGATAGAGCGCGTGAGAGATCGCGTGAGAGAGCGCGTGATTGAGCGCGTGAGAGTGCCCGTGAGAGAGCGCATGAGAGAGCGCGAGAGAGCGCGTGAGGGTGCGCACGAGAGAGGGCGTGCGAGTGCGAGTGAGAGTGCGCATGAGCTTGCTGGGCCTGCGGGTCCTACAGGAGCTGGAGCTGCTGAGGGTGTTGGTGCTGAGACTACTGGGGCGAAGAGCTTTCTGCACTAGCGCTTAGAGTGCCGGTTTATAAGGTGTTGGCACCTAAGACGCTCGTCTAGGCCGCTGACAATTAGCGAGCTAGTGCCTAGCATGTGAGAATAAGCGAACAGGAATGGGGTGAACTAGCAGTGAAATGAGTACAAGTAGGAAACCTTAGAATTGTGTACCCCCTATAGGCTAACCCACTGTAGCCTACACAAGCATAACATATATAATGTTTGACACACCCCCATAGGCAAAGTGGGGGAGAACAAGGGGTCACAAGACCAGTCAAGCAAAGCAAAGTAAGCTCAGGGTGGATCACAAAGTCACCACACAGTCCGAGCACAAGAGCAGGGCCAGAGGCCAGTTCACATGCAGGAGTACAGACATATATATAAAAACTAGACAAGCACCAGCGACATCCATGACCATGCCAATGCGGCGCTCAGCAATCCCATTTTGCTGTGGAGAGTCCGGAAGCGTAAAGGTCTGGCGGATCCCCCGTGCACGACAGTAGTCTCGCAGAAGGCGAGAGGAGAACTCCCCACCTCGGTCAGAGTGCAGACGCAGAACAGGAAAGTCCGAGCCGAAGCTCCTCCTGAGCTGGAGACGAGCCTCGCGGATCCAGTCGATCAGCACCTCAGTGACAGCACCCTTGCTGCGCAAGGGGAAGACTGAGGTGTAACGCGAGTAGTCGTCAACCACCAACAGGAAGTAGCGCTCGTGACCCTGCCCACGGACGGGGGCCGGGCCCCACACGTCCATGTGAAGCGTCTGCAGAGGAGCCTCTGTCGGGGGAAACTGGGAGGAGTGAGGAGCAGCCCTGAGGCGCCCCTTGACACAAGGGGACACAGGAAGGTCCTGGTCCCGAAGGAAGGGGAGGGAGAGACTGGGGAAGACCAGAGACAAGGACACGGGAAGCCATGCCCCGAAGACGGGGCAAGGAGGGGTGGCCTAGACGGTGGTGCCACAGAAGAGTCTCGTGAGACAGGAGGCGACACGAACAGGGGGCAGACTCAGGACCAGACCTGGACGCAGCAGCAAACACCTGACCCGACGCTGCTACCTGACCGGACGCGGGGACAGGAGGAGACTCAGTGGTCAGGGTGTAGAGGCTCGACCCCGGCCGACGCGAGAACGTGGCCAGGTGCCGGCCTGTGCGTGCGTCCGTGCAGTGGGTCACCCGCTGACTCGCAGGAGTGAACTGGTGAACCCCCGCATCCTGTAGGTCTGCACCACTCACCAAGTTCGTCGAGAACGAGGGGAGGTACAGGCCAGACAGGGTGCCCGAGGGGGCAGCCGGACACGGGAGGACAGTGGAGAAGTGAGCGAGGACAGGACCCCCAGAGGGGTCAGCCAGGGAGACTGCAACCGGCCGACCAAGCGGCGTGAGTGTGGTGCGGTCCCGAAAGAAGGAGCGAGAAGCCCCAGAGTTAAGTGTAAAGGTGAGGGAGGCCGAAGCCAACGCGGTACCTGAGAGCGCAGCCTCACCCGCACCTGAGGAAGCAGACTCACTAGCACCTAGAGCAGCAGCCGCACCTGTACCTGGAGCAGGAGACTCACTAGCACCCAGAGCAGCAGCCTCACCAGTAGCTAGAGCAGCAGGTCCTATACCTGGGTCAGGCGGGACGCGCAGGTGACCGGCACGGTCAGCACTAGTAGGCAATGCATACATGGCAGTGAGAATAGCATCATAGTCAAGAGCATATATATCTACCCTCTGCCTAAGCAACTCCACCCAGTCGGGAAGCCCAGCCTCGTCGCCAAACACGGTACGGCAGGCGTCGCTCAGACGGGCGAAGCAGCGGGACTGTGTATGACTACGTGTCCCACAAGGCTGACCAGTCCGAGGACCAGTGCGAATCACGTAAGAGCAGCGAACAGCACTGAGAGACCCTCCACTCTGAGCGTACCACTCACGAAGCTGGCGAGGCGTGAGAGACACGCGAGAGGGTCGCGGGAGCTGCATCTGGCCGCCACCACGAGTAGAAGCAGCAGGAGTGGTAGTAGGAGTAGCGTCGCCACCCCTACAGCCCCAACCAGCGTACCACTCACGCAGCTGCTGGGGCGTGAGGGACTCACGCAGGCGTCGCTGGGGCTGCATCTGGCTCCGCAAGTAGAAGCAGGAGCAGGACTAGCAGCAGGATGGCAGGCAGCCAGGCAAGCCAAAAGGCAGGCAGGCAGGCAAGTAGGCGACGCGCAGCGTGCTAGCAGGGCAAGAGCTCACCAGTGGTGGGAAGAGTAGGCTCGGCGACTCAGCGGCTCGGCAACTCGGCGGCTCGGCGGCTCGGGCGACTCGGGCGGCTCGGCGGCAAGGCGGCTCGGCAGCAAATGCAGCTCAGCAGCTCGGTGACGCGGCGGCTCAGCGGCAGGGCGGCTCGGCAGCAACTGCAGCTTAGCAGCTCAGCGACCTGGCGGCTCGGCGGCAGGGCGGCTCGGCTGCTGGGCGGCTCGGGTGCAGGGCGGCTCGGCGGTGGGGCGGCTCGGCTGCTGCAGGTGAGCGGCTCGGCTGCTGCAGTGAGAGATGAAGGAGGAGGAGAAGCAGGGGAGGCCACTCACCGCCACCCCTCTGCCGGCCCCCTCAGGTCGCCTCGCCAGGCGACGGGAAAATGGGGGGGGGGGGGTGGTGGGGGCCGGTAGGTGCAGCGGCGGGGCCAGCTGGTGCAGTTGCGGGGCCGGTAGAAGGGGACGGCAGGAGCCGTCAGGAGGGGACGGCGGGGCCGTCAGGAAGGGACGGCGGGGCCGTCACGAAGGGACGGCGGGGCCGTCAGGAGGCGACCGGGCCGCGACGGGGCGGCTGGGCCGGGATGGGGCGGGGCCGCGACTGGGTGGGGCCGCGACGGGGGCAGGCGGCGGGGCCGCGTAAGGGCCTGGGCGGGGCCGCGACAGAGCCGTCGGCGGGGCCGCGTGAAAGCCGGGGCGGGGCCGCGTAGAAGCCGGGGCGGGGCCGCGCGAGAGCAGGCGGCGGGGCCGCGAAGGAGCCGGGGCGGGGCCGCGTGAGAGCAGGCTGCGGGGCCGCGTAAGGGCCTGGGCGGGGCCGCGTAAAGGCCGGGGCGGGGCCGCGACAGAGCCGGCTGCGGGGCCGCGTGAGAGCCGGCGACGGGGCCGCTTAAGGGCCGGCGGCGGGGCCCCGTCAGAGAGGGCGGCGGGGCCGCGTCAGTGAAGGCGGCGGGGCCGCAGGGGAAATGGCGACCCGAGGGGTCGCTAAAAAAAAATCGCGCCTCGGGGGGCGCTTCGGAGGGCCCAAAAAAAAAACGGTCCGTAGAAGGACCCGCTCTATACCATGTGAGAATAAGCGAACAGGAATGGGGTGAACTAGCAGTGAAATGAGTACAAGTAGGAAACCCTAGAATTGTGTACCCCCTATAGGCTAACCCACTGTAGCCTACACAAGCATAACATATATAATGTTTGACATAGCACGCTCGCGTAGGGGGCTCTAACACTTGGGCGCGGGCACCTAGTGTGCTGACCCCTGTGGTGCTCGTGCTTGAAGCGCTAGCGCGATGGCCTTTGGCGCCTAGCCACGGGTTGCTTGTTGCTTAAGGCGAGCGGGTGCGTTGCCGCGCGCTGGCTCCTTTTTGAAGCCCGCAGCGCACTTGCGCACTGCAGTGAGGGATGATGATTTGTAATTCTTGCTTGGCCTCCTGTATGCGCACGTGTGTTGCAGTATTTGGTTTTTGCTTTCTTGTACACATTGTGTAAACATACACTGTTTTTTGTGCAAGGTGTGTTGTTCCTTTCTCAGTTCTTGCCTTCTTGTGCAGGGCGTGTGTGTGTTGACTTCTCTGGTTAATCTTTGTACAGGGCGTGTGTGTGTTGACTTCTCTTATTTTGCTTTGTGTAGGGCGTGTGTGTGTTGACTGTCAGAACATTATAGCTTATGCATTTGTGTAGGTTGTAGTGGGGTAGCCCATAAGGGGTACAACCCAATTAGGGTTAGTACTTGTACCCAACTCTTTCATAGTTCATTTCATTCTCGTTCTAACTTTCACATGGTATAGAGCAAGTTCCCTCGTGGGAACTGTTCCTAGGGCCCACCGATTCGATAATTTTTTTCCTGCCTGGAAAGCGCTCAGTCCCTGCCCGAGTCGCGCTCCGTGGGTCTCTCCTCTCACGACCCCTAACGGACCCGTTGCGCCGCACTCACGGCCCCTTAGCGGCCCCCCGCGGCCCCGTCGCGCTGCCCTAGCGGCCGCGTCGCGCCGCCCTAACGGCCGCGTCGCGCCGCCCTCGCCGCCCTCACGGCCCCTTAGCGGCCCCTCGCGGCCCCGATCCGCCGCCCTTGCGGCCCCGATCCGCCGCCCTTCGCGGCACGTCTCCGCTCTCCCCCTGCGGCCCCTCGCCACCCTTTCACCAGCGGCCCCGTTGCGGCCCTTGCACGGCCCCGACGCCGCCCACCCAGCGGCCCCGTCGTAGCCCTTCCCGCGGCCCTGTCGCCGCCCTCTTCAGCGGCCCCGTCGCCACACTTGCAGCGGCCCCGTCGCCGCCCTTCTCAGCGGCCCCGCCGCCTCCTTTCAGCGGCCCCGCCGCCGCCCTTGAAGCGACCTCGTCGCCGCCCTTTCAGCGGCCATGCTGCCTCCTTTCAGCGGCCCTGCCGCCGCCCCTGACGCGGCCACATCGCCGCCCTCTCAGCGGCCCCGCCGCGGCCCTTTCAGCGGCCACGCCGCCTCCTCTCAGCGGCCCCGGACGCTGCCCTCACGGCGGCCCTCCCGCCGCCTCCTTTGCGGCCCCGCCGGACCGCCCAGCGGCTGAACCGCCCAGCAGCAGAGCCGCCGAGCCGCCGCGCCCCCCAACAGCCGAGCCGCCCAACCGCCGAGCCGCCCACCAGCCAAGCCGCCCAGCCGCCCAGCCGCCCAGCAGCCGA